CAGACAGAGAGGGGCTCACAGGGTTGTAGTCAATCCCCTGGGTTAACAAGGTGGTTTTGAGTGCCTGTGACTAAGCTGGCTTTTGCGAGTGGAGGCAGTGTTGCTGTGTGTGTGTGTGTGTGTAAGGTTGTCCTGGTGGCTGAATACAGCACTTCTTCTCTCCCCCTGTGTCTTGCAATGCCTGTGCAGGAAGCTCATGGACAGGCAGACGTTCTCCTCCATCCAGGCCACTAACGGCACCTCCCGCTACGCCGCAGCTGTCTTCCACAGAGGTGAGGTTGGAGAGCGAGCTCTTACACAGCAGGCCAGAGGAGAGAGCTGGCCTGGTCTGCACCCACCTGCCCCCCGGGACTCCTGATCCTCGGACCCTAGAGGCTTTTGGGAAGTGTTGTGCTTTCTGATGATGTAGAGCAGGTGTAAGTCGGCCTGCCTGCTTACAACTTACAACTTAAGCTGCCTTCTTAAAATGTCATTGCTTACACGTGCTCACGCCCCAGTGCCCTGGGAAAACGGCACTCAGGGCCGTGCTGCAGACTGATCCAGGGAATGTCAGTGGCAGTCAAAGCATGGTGTGTCTCTGCCCCTCAGGGGCTAGTTTCCACAGCAGGTGTGGCCGACCTGTGGGGACTGCCTGACGGGTTTGTCGTCCTGGTTTCAGGGGAGCTGCACCTAACACCCCTTCACGGGATCCTTCAGCTGCGCCCCAGCTTCTCCTACCTGGACAAGGCCGACAGCAAGCACCGCGAGAGAGAGGCGGCCAACGAAGGTGTGGGCCTGGGGTCTCTTGGAGTCTCTGCTGGGTCGACGCCTTCTGATTCAGACAGGCTCGTGGTGCCTGAGCTCTGGGATTGCATGCGTGTCTTCCTGGTGTACTTAGCGGTGCTGCTTTTATCCATTAATTAACGAACAGTGGAGGAAAAGGGATGAATCGGCAAGGGAGCTGAAGTGGGATAAGGCTGTTATCGGTGGAGTGACTGGCAGTGAGGTCTCCTGGGCACAGTGAGCTGATGCCATCTGTCTTCACAGGCGGAGACTCGTCCCAGGATGAAGCCGAGGAGGATATCAAGCAGATTACGGTGAGACTTTGATATCCGTCCCATTCTATGACACATGCAGCAAGAGCTACCCTATCAGAGAAGATAGGGGTCAGAGCAAATGGAGCCACAAAGAAGAGAAGGAGTCCCTGTGATTTCTTTGTGATGACAGTGGACGTGTGTGTGTGGGTCTCTGGCAGGTCCGGTTCTCCCGGCCCGAGTCCGAGCAGGCCCGCCAGCGTCGCATTCAGTCCTACGAGTTCCTGCAGAAGAGGCAGGCCGAGGAGCCCTGGGTGCATCTGCACTACTACGGCCTGAAGGTGAGGGCAGGGAGGCCGCGTGGGGGGAGGGGGGGAGGTGTGGAGCGGGGCGGCGCCCGGACAAGGGGAACAGCACAGGAAGGAAAGCTGGGAAAGGAGAGGACGCTGGGGTTGAGGCTGGAGGGTCTTGGGGAGAGAGAGAGAGTCCAGCAACAGCCCCTCACTGCGTCCTGTGTCCCACTACAGGACGGGCGCTCGGAACACGAGAGACAGTACCTGTTCTGCCAGTGCATGGGCACGACGGAGAACACCGAGCTGGTGAAGACGCCCAGGTGGGTCGAGCCGCGCCGCCGGTGCCTGTCTGAAGGGTGGGGCAGTGGCCGTGGGGGCGCTCTTCCTCCTGCAGCTAAAGTCGAGGCCTGGGAAGGGCTTGTCAGGAACTGTCTAGACGGAATGTGGGGTCTCCCTAGTGACGCCCTTTCACCTTCGTGCTGCTGCACCCTCAGTGCCGGCTGGTATTCCTGGGGTTTTTCCTGGACAATGTTGGGGATGTTGGGTGTCGGAGCCGCTGGAATTAAGCCGGAGCGTAATTCTGATGCGTCTGTGTCTCCTCTTCTCTCCCAGTGAGTACCTGGCCATGCTCATGCCCCCAGCTGTGGAAGCAGAAGTGTGAGTACAGCAAAGCCCTCTCCGCGTTTCCCTGCTTGTGTAACAGGCCGGCCCGTGTTGGCAAGTGATCCAGCGGGCGGAGTGGGAAGGGTGGGATTCTGCCCAGGGGCTGCCTGATTGCCGTCTCTCCCTCTGTCCCGGTGTGCAGGGCGCAGCCGGTCACTCCCAGCAACGTGCTGTCCATGGCCCAGCTGAGGACCCTGCCGCTGGTGGAGCAGGTGAAGACTCTCATGAAGAATGGTGAGGAAACGTCTCTGCACGGTTTGACTGAAGCCACAGCGGCTTTTAATTTTGGTCGGTTTAGTCGTCACTCGAAAGCAGACTTCACCGCGATGAAATATCCCTTTTTTTTTTTATGAGCGGGTGGGTTTGTGTGTTGCCCTCACGGCAGGTCAGAGGAACCATGTCCCTAATCTGCGTTTTGTTGTGCTCCCTGCAGTGAAGGTCATGCCCTTTGCTAACCTGATGGGGCTGTTGACCCCCGGCACAGACTCCACCGCAGTGCTGCGCTGTGTCCAGCAGGTGGCAATGTTGGTCCAGGGGAACTGGGTTGTGAAGAGGTGAGCTCAGCACAAGCCGTCCTGATCATACTCCTTTTTAATCTTTCACTTGGCATGACTCCGCGGCAGTGCGAGGCGTGCTGCCCCCCGGTGGTGGGTCTGTGTGTGTAACGGCGTGCCCTGTCTGTGCCCACAGCGATGTGTTATACCCCAAGGACACCTGCAGCCCCCACAGCGGTGTGCCGGCGGATGTGTTGTGCCGCGGCCGGGACTTTGTGGTGAGTAACGGCAGTCCCAGTGGAAAGGCTTTACCTGTCCCATACACACCGGGGGCTCGAACTCCCAAACCAGCAGCTGGAGCAGCCTGCAACTCCCAGCTGGCAGCCCACTGGAGCTCAGCAGGTGTGGGCCTGGCCAGTACCTGGAGGGGAGACTCCTGAGAGAGCTGGGGCTGCTGCTGGGAGATGTGTTAGTGGGACCAGCAGGGGGGCGCTCACCCTGCGGTCTGTGTGAGTCCTAATGCCCCAGTATAGTGACAGGGGCACTCTACTGTGAAAGGGCGTCCCGTGGGGAAAATGCCTCAGTTCGTGTGATCCGTGTTCCTTTATTCCCCTTGCCTCGCAGCTGTGGAAGTTCACGCAGGAACGCTGTGTGGTGCGGAAGGAGATTGCGGCCATTGTGAAGGTGCGTGACCCCGGAGATGAATCCTGAATTTGCCTTTTGAGCAGAATAGGAGCGTTAGTGCTTCACTGATATTTTGTGGAGCTCTGTTGTTAAGCTGCTTGGACCGTAATGTATTTGAATAGGTATTAGCATGTTATGCATTGGGAAACGGTCCCTCTAGTTGTTAATGGATAATATTTCTCCTTAAGGGAGCATGGTTATGCTACACAGTTCTTGCATTCACTGTCTTAGTGCTGTACTGCCTGCAGGGCTGTAGGACAACTGCCCAGAAGGGGACAGCAAGGAGCTACTGTACTCCAATAGCTTGGGACAGGGGAGTGTAGTGGATTTTTAATAAGGGGAGGAAGGCAGACAGCTTGTTACTCATGCTGACAACCTGGAATTCGTGTATTTAGAGTAAAGCAACACCACGGGGTGAAATTAAAGCATGCACTGCTTCCCGATTTCCTATATTTGCAGCCATCTTTGATTTATTGTGGTACCTTGCAATAGGTTTTTAGAAACTGAATCTGCGGCACGTGTCTTGAACATTCGTGTGGGTTTTGCCCGTGTGCCTGGGAGTTTCGTCCGGCTGCCCCCGTTTTCCTCTCGCAGCCCAAAGACGAGCTGTCCTGTCGGCTCTGAATAGTCTCCCCCCTGTCTTGTGCACGTGTGGCCAGGATGTAGTCCAGCCTTTCTCCCGGTGTCTGCTGGGATAGGTGTCAGGTGCCCTGTTGAAAAACGTCGGGGTGCCAGTTGGCAGCAGGCTGTGGGCGGAAGAGCTGCCCGGTGGTGCCCGGAGCCGGCGCCAGGCAGCGTGCGCTGTGCCCTAACTCCGGCTCCCTCCCCTCTCAGCTGCCCCCGGAGGACGTGAAGGACTTCCTGGAGCAGATGGCGGTGGCGCGCGTGAACCGCGGCTGGGAGTTCCTGCTGCCCAGCGACGCCGAGTTCGTCAGGAAGCACCCCGACGTGGCTCAGCGGCAGCACATGCTCTGGCTGGGCATCCAGGCCAAGTGAGTCCCGCCGGTCGATCGGCCGGACCCGGTCGGCGGCTCGTCCCAGCTCGGGGGTCGCAGGCTGCTGTCCAGCAGGTTCTGTACATCTGTTCAGCCCTCCAGCTTGGCAGGAGCACAGCGTTGCTCAGCATGTGCAAGTAAGCCAGTCCCGAGTCCAGTTAGTTCATTAAAGACTCAAGTGGAAGCAAAGCCAGGAGCCTTCCGATCCTCTGGAAAATTGTGCCTCTCATAGAGATTTTAAAATGTGTTATCATGGCCTGGATGTGCCAGAAGACTGCAGTCCGTGTTTGATCGGCTCTTTCACTGACCCACGATTCCTCTAGAAATGTTTGTCTAGCAGTCATGAAAGAGTGGGGTGTTTCCGTTGTGCCGCTGGGGTCAGTGAAAGGTTAAACGCGTGAAAAATTATCCAGACCCGGCGTTTTTCTCTTGTGTTGGACAGGTTGGAGAAGGTTTTCCAGCTCCCGAAGGAAAGCATGATGCCAAAGAAGCCAGATTCCCAGCCAGGTGAGACACGTTTGCAGCAAGTGCCTGTAGCTGTGGCTGTGCAGCGAGCACTGCTGGGCTCCTGGTGCCTCTCAGACTGGGCCTGAGCGGTGAAGACCTTTCCATGGCTGGCCCATGACCGTCGGAGAGGAGCTTGGCGTGGATGGGCGCGCTGCCGATGCTGTGTGTGTGCGTGTGGACCGGTGCCGACGCTGTGTACGCGTGTGCGGGTGTGTTGCGGTGCTGACGCTGTGTGTGCGAGTGTGTTGCGGTGCTGACGCTGTGTGTGCGAGTGTGTTGCGGTGCTGACGCTGTGTGTGCGAGTGTGTTGCGGGGCTGACTGTGTGTGTGTGTGGGTGTTGCGGGGCTGACTGTGTGTGTGTGTGGGTGTTGCGGGGCTGACGCTGTGTGTGTGTGTGGGTGTTGCGGGGCTGACGCTGCGTGTGTGTGGGTGTTGCGGGGCTGACGCTGCGTGTGCGTGTGTGTTGCGGGGCTGACGCTGCGTGTGCGTGTGTGTTGCGGGGCTGACGCTGCGTGTGTGTGTGTGTTGCGGGGCTGACGCTGCGTGTGTGTGCGTGTTGCGGGGCTGACGCTGCGTGTGTGTGCGTGTTGCGGGGCTGACGCTGCGCGAGCGTGTTGCGGGGCTGACGCTGCGCGAGCGTGTTGCGGGGCTGACGCTGCGCGAGCGTGTTGCGGGGCTGACGCTGCGCGAGCGTGTGCGTGTGTGTGTGCGTGTGTGTTGCGGGGCTGACGCTGTGTGTGCGTGTTGCGGTATTGACGCTGCGTGTGTGTGTGTGGCAGGAGCGGTGCTGCTGAGCGGGGAGCAGCGGGTGCGCGCGGCGAGGGAGCGGGCGCAGGAGTGCCAGCCGGCGCTGGAGCGGGAGCTAGAGCGCCAGCGTGCCGCCGGGGCCGTGCGCGTCAAGGAGGAGCCACTGAGCGACGGCGAGGAGCCCATGGACACCTCCCCGCCGGCCGCGCTCAGCAACGGCACGCCCAACGGCCTGCCGCGCCCGGACGAGGGCCCGCGGGACTCGGCGAACGGGCCCGGCCCGTCCCGGGAGCTCAGGGACTTTGTGAGCGCGACCTTCCGCAAGCACTTTGTCCTGACCCTCAGCGAGCTGAAGCGCCTCTTCAACCTGCACCTGGCCAGCCTGCCCCCCGGGCACAGCCTGTTCGCGGGCATCTCGGACCGCCTGCTGCAGGACGCCATCCTCCACAGCCGCTGCCGGCAGATCCAGGTGCCTGTGAGTACTCCTGCCCTGGGCCCCCCCAGGCTCCGGGCCTTGGGCCAGCTCGGCCCTCCCGCTCCTGGGTGATCAGGCGCAGGAACGGCACAAAGATGGGGTGTGTGGGCAGCTGTCACTGTGCCGGGTGGGGAGCAGCTGAACCTGAACTCAAACCCGGGAGAGCTCTCGTTGAGGCCAGTTGACAAGAGCTTGTGTCTGATAGCAGTTTCTGACGACCTGGGCAATGCCCTTAGAGATGGTAGTCCGATCCAGTCCCAGGGCTTGGCAGTGCTTTAAGATGCCCATTCATGGCCCAGTTGCTTGCAGCATTTTTTTTTTTTTAAGTCTCCCCTCAGCCAGCAAGCAGAAGCTTGAGAGCACAGAAGCAGCTCTGTGTGCGGAGCTGGGAACAGTACCTGACCTGTGGCACCTGGCTCTGACTGCCCTTCTCGGCTTGCCTGGGCGGACACGGCTCAGGGGTTTCTCAGGGGGGGCTGGCGGGGGTGATGGGGAGAGCTGGTAGATGAGGACGTGTACTCTTCTTCGAGTCTGAAGGACAGAGCCTGACAGTCTCTTTGTGGCCACTGGGAGTCGTTTTGTATCAAAGATGAAGAAGTGGGCTGGTTAAAGTTTAACAAACAAACGGCAGGGTGTGTATCGGCATTCCTCTGCGCACTCGAGTCTTAAAGTGCTCAGGACACACGAGACGATTGAGTGGCCCTAAAGATGAAGGCAGACTTGGGAGCTTTCCTGGCCTCCTGACTCAATTCGTCAGTGTGCGGTGCAGACATTAAAACTGGGCTAGCACGTGAACACCAGCCTTCCCTCCTTAACCAGACTGCTCCCTTAGTTGTGTGTCAAGGGATTGGGTTGAGCCGTAGAACAGCAGAAACGGACTGCTGGTGACATCATGGGGGTGTAGGAGTCTCGTGCACAGTGTGGTGTGTCTGTGGAATTTGTTTTGTGTACGTCGAAGGATTGGAATGCATTCAGCTCCTCTGCTCTGTACGTTCAGCTGTGACCATCCTGACATTCTTTAAAGGGGAACTGGGAAGCACTGGAATTCCAGGCCTACATGTACAGAGCCTAACAGCTCGGTGGTCAGTCATGGCTTCTTGAACAGCAGTCGATTCTTTAAGCAAGGCGGCATTATGTGATTAGTTATTTATGCAGTGCTGCGTGTTTAGCTTAATGGTTTTACAAAGGTCTTACAAAATAAAAAAAACTGGGCAAGTGTTGTGAATATGTAGGGTTTGCACAACTATATTTAATTGCTACAATAAAGCTGGGGAGAACAATGGACGTTTTACTGCAGAGCAGCCGGTCATCATCTAATCTCTGTGCATGCAAACTACTTATCAAGACTGTCCTGCTGGGGGGAAAAGCTAACAGTTTAATCCTTTTAGTACCAGGCTATAGGATTTGCAGTGCAGAAGGTTTGGAGAAACGTGGTCTTATATAATGTATTAGACCCTCAAGGCCCTCCTTCTGATGGCAGTGCTACCAGCCCAAGGTCTTGGTGCATTTACAGGACTGCAACTATATTTTTTGTGAACACAGGTTTTATTTTTTTCCCCCTGCTAACATGCAATTCAAGAAAAAAAA